CAATAGTTATAAATAAATACATTACCAAATCTTTAAACAAATTTAATATTAGGTATATTCATTTAACAGCAATGCCTTCCTTATAGTTTTGTAGGAATATCTGACATTATTATCAAAAATTAAATATTTAGATTAACATTCTCAGTTCTAATTTAGCAAATCCAAATCTTTATTAATGTTTCTAGAAAATAAATGGTTGATCTGAAACTCTATTTATGCTTATCAAATAAGGGGACATACCTGGATGACACATTATACTTCGCTATTTAGATCATTTTCTTTTTCTCTTGCATTATATGTTTTCCATTTTTCCTGATGTAAATTTGCTTCTTTTTGTAAAACTTCCTCAATATAAAATAAATTAGTTTGTTATACATTTGCACCCATTATACTTTTGTATTCTAATATTTTAATTATATTGAAAATATTCTGAAGGACTTTTTCCATTATTAAATAATACAACAGAGAATTTAAGACATGCTTTTTACTATAGTGACATTGTTAGTAAAGGGGAAGGGAAATTCACAACTCATGTGAGTGATTTTTTGAATAGAATTTAGAATAAAAAATAATGTAACCAATATTTACATATGTATAAGCCAAAATATGAGACCCAGAATGGTGCAGTGATTAAAGCATCAGGTTAAAAACTGGGAGACTGTGAATTCTAGCCCTGCTTAGGTTCAAAGTAAAATGGGTGAACCTCAGCCAGTCATTCTCTCCCAGCGGTAGAAGCCAACTTTGACCTAACACAGACATGCACATGTCTAAAATATAGACTATACTCTTGTGTAATGTGCACTATATATAACAGAGTACAGTAATGCTTTCACTGAAAATGAATCTGAAACATTTTGAAAACTGTTTTATACAGTCTAAGTGCAGAAAGCCTCAGTTACCAGAAATCTTTTAACAATAAACTGAACAGGACAGTTTCTTACCTGAATAAATAAAATATGGTTATGACTCTTTTTTCCCCTTCTGCAAATGTAGTCAGATTCATTTTATTGACTGACAAGACATGTCCCCCATTCCACATCTGTAGTGCTGTAATTTATGTGAATTGCAGTTAATAATCAGTTCTGTTATGCTTAATCAGCATATCAATAATATGTTCAGCAAAGACTAAGAGGCTTTCATTTCCCAGACCCTTTCATAGATTTGATTGATTGACAGAATGAAAATGGCATAAATGCAGGTGGTGGTTTAGAATATTATCTCTGTGGACTTTGAAATCAAGTAGAAATAGATGCATCTAGTGCAATTTTTGCCATTTTTAATAGTTCTTTCTTTCTTTCTTTCTTTCTTTCTTTCTTTCTTTCTTTCTTTCTTGTTTTTTTTTTTTACCAAATCATTATAATATTACTAGTGCAAGTGTTATAAATGTAGAGGATAGCTTTATTTTTCTTCTTTTTCCCCCAAAAGTGAAGGGGATAAATTAAACTTTTACATTATTGCAGAATAATAATACTGAATCAAGGATTAAAACACTTTCAATACAGATTCAATAAAGCACCAATAGAGCACAAATTAATAAATATAAAGGAGACTGTTCTAAAATAAATCCCAGAATTTTGCATAACTGAGAATCAGAGCACTATAATGAAAAAAAAACCATGTCAAATATTCCCAAGCAATTAAACAAAACCTGTTCTTTTTCCTCCACCTAAATTCACATTTCATATATAAATTATATGATTCTGAAGAGCTATTGGACTATAATGCGAATATACTGTTGTGTTTTGAAATTTGGCCAATATAATGCCATAAGGTTCATTTCTGAGTCAATGCTTCAAGCACAGCTCTATTAACTTGAGCTTGTAAATTACCTGTGCCCTACTAGTAATGTTTCAATATGATGTGACAACCTTATTATGGAAACTTGCATTTGCATTTATTTTAACAGCTTTAAAGGCATATGTAAAGTACAGTATAGTTTCAACTTCTCGGCAGATTATGGGTTTTCTTTTTCTGTTCCTTGGACCTCCTCTCATGAACAGGCACTCTTATAGGCATTTTGTATGTCCTTTTCCTTGTTCCTGTTTGTCATACAAAGCATACATTCATGGTGGCACAGTGGTTAAAATGCAGTACTGCAGGCTATTTCTGCTGATTGACGGCTGCCAGCAGTTCAGCAGTTCAATTCTTACTGGCTCAAGGTTGACTCAGCCTTCTATCTTTCTGAGGTCAGTAAAATGAGAACCCAGATTGTTGGGGACAATATGCTGACACTGTAAACCTCTTAGAGAGGGCTGTAAATCTAAGTGCTATTGCTATTATACTATTTTTCTTATGAAGTTTAGATTCATATTATAGGTAGATTTCAGAAAGTTGTAGGTTTCTTGGAGTTTTAATTAATATATACAAGAAAGGATTGTAAAAATATTGTATTTCCTCTTTTCAATTATTTTGCACAACTTGCTTTGATTACTTAAGAATACAAGTATATAAAACAAGAATAATTCAATGATTGAGCCTTAAAATTTCATAATAAATCACACCATAAATTCTATGGAAGTTTCCTTGATACACCATTATTTTACTCAATCTACATTTCCCGTATTCAATGTATTATTCTGTGACATTTATTTTCAGGTTCATATAGACAAGATTGGTCTACATCCTTATTTCATTACACAGTGTTATATATTGAACAGTTCTCTTAAGAGAAAACATTATGTATTAGGAGACAATATAATTTCATATTTTGCTATGTTATATTTTTATGCTGCTTAATACAGTATGAAGAAACCAGTAATTCAACATCATTTAAATAAAATAGCATAATAATGAAAGCATCCCATACTTGTGAAATAGAAAACATGAAGTTCTCATAAGCAAATCATTTTTTGTCTAGGTAACCCTGAATTAGCAGTTATAAAGCAAAACCTTTTTTTCTAATTAGTATCACAATTCAATTCCAATAAAACTACCATCACAGCATTAAAGTAAAGAGCTACATACATTCTTAAAAAGCAATGTCAATGTCAATTGGATGCTGAAAAACCAGAGGCACCAAAATATTGGTTTTTTATAAATATTACATACTTTTGTGCACCTAACTGGTTAACTTTGTCCACTAAATCTTCCAGAAAATAATTTATTCAAAGTCATTTTTAAATTATATTAAATTATACTAAACTCTAATTTAGTGACAGCTGAAGTTGTTTGAATTTTGACTAATGATGCTTCAGCAGCCAGTTTGCCACATTATTATCCAATTCTTGATTTTCAGCACCCAAAGCTGAAAGAAAAGGAAAAGCCACTTCTTCGAAAGACAGAGATACAGAATTAAATTAAATGTTACTATTCCAATTTTACAATAAAAAATGAGACTCATTACTTTACTATAAATGTGTACCAGTCATAAAATATGATCTATATTATTTGGCTTTTATTGTTACATTCATGTATATGTTGTTGTTTTTTACCAGTTCCATGTGATAATAGGCATTTTCATAAAATTTCTATCATAAAGTCATCTAGTTATATGTCATTATGTACATTGGCCAAGACTTAACTGGATTTTAAGCAGATTTTAACTTTAGCAGAACCAGTCACCTTCTTCAAACTTCATTAACGATACCCATGGAAAACAAAGAATATGTTGTGATCCTAATTCTGTCTAATTCTGTTATACTGTAATAAACCCAACTTTCCCTGGAAAGTATGAAATGGAAAATATAAACATATATGAATATATGAATGAAAGTATAAATATCCATCTATATACCACTAAAATTCTCTTTGACATAACTTTTAACTGGATGAAATGATTATCATAGGTCAATGTTTTTTCAACCAATGTAGCCCAAATAGGATAACTTATAGAATGATACAAAATCTGGAATCCATGACTCCTGAGAAATGAAAATTGGGAAAATTATGGCTATTCCAGTGCTTGAAGGAAGGAAGGAAGGAAGGAAGGAAGGAAGGAAGGAAGGAAGGAAGGAAGGAAGGAAGGAAAAAAGGAAGGAAGGAAGATTCCTCATACTCTCTGCCAGCTTTCCATAAGAAAACTCAATAGGAAAGCTGGCAGGAAATCGGAAGTTGTTCCCACTCTTACTGCTTTTGCCTGCCTATGATCATTCTGTTTCTCTGGTGAGAAAGTATTTGCGAAACAATGACCAAACAAGCATGGAGTCTCTAATATAGTCTAATTATAATATAATGGAAGCCTTCAAATCATACTGAGCTCTTTAAGTAGATCTGGTGAGAGTGAGATTACAATGCATGGTTCTCATTGTTCCTCATGCTTATAACTGTTTACATGTAGCTAATGAAACTACAACAGCCAATGTTTGTTTCACATTATTTTGAATTGGTAACATGTTTTACCAATTCTATTTCAGTTCAGGCTTAGTAGAGATTTTTTATTATGGTTAAAATTATTTTCTAGTACAAGGCAAAAATAAGAGGGTGTCCTTGTTGGGTATGGAGGCTCTAGTGGTGGTTTGGGGAGGGGGTTTTTTTGGGGTCAATTTGGTTTAAAATCGACAGTTTTACAGAAGGAACACAATTATTATTCACATGAAAGAACTTTGTCTTTGCCTATCCCTTATGCTTTAATGTGGAAAAAGTTCAGGAAAGACTGAAATATCTTTAATCATTCAATCAAAACCATAATCAATATCAAATCAATCTTCAATATAATCAATCCTAACTTGCTAATAAGAGTCATTGAAGTTAAAGCCCTTCCAAATCCGGAGGAATACAGGTCAGAAAAGGCTGATTAAGTGAAATCCTTAGCATAAATATTTATAGTAACTTTAATACTACTGAAAAAGATGCTGGCTGCTATTTTGGTAATATATGAAACACAGAACATATTCAGGGATTTGTGATAGAAGCATGAGTCCCAAAATATAAACTCTGTTTAAAAAGGAATAAAGAACAGTAAAACCACACTAAATCATACTTGTGTTTTTCTGTTTTCCACAAAAGAAGAAAAGGTTAAATAACATAGCAATGTTTCCCATTTTACAGTTTAATGAACTCACCCCATGTGATGGGTAGGAGATCCAGCCCAGCTCTCCTTGAATTGCTTTTGAATCTAGCAGATTAACTGTGAAAAGAAGAAAAAAATTCTGTTATTGTTTTTTTAAAGGCTTGATTGGTTGGTTTTGAATTAAATTATTCCAAGTGCAGAAAAAGCAGAACAACAGATGTATTTTCAATTAATTTCCTAAATATAAAAAAACACATACCAACTTCTCATACTCCAATCACATTTCTAAATCCAGTCCCTCAGAAAGTTGGTTCAATAAGTACTAGTAAATGACAGTGAAAGATGCAACAAAATTCTGTTTTTTTTAAAAGTTTCATATTTCAAACATTTAATTCAGCATGCGTAATAATTAATCATGACTCCAGGGCCTGACATTATACATTATTCTACTTCATCTGCTGATAACTTGACTTGCTGATATTTTTAAGGAAAAAATATAACTTCAAACAACGTTTTTAAACATGTATTTTCATTCTGAAATAACCTCAAGTTTTTAACAATCTTTTAATCTCCCAGCCGTCAAGACCAGAGATGTTAGTTGAAAATGTAAGTTGCAAATTGAATTAAATACATTTTGAAGCTCTGAAAATAATGTTGAAAACAAATCCAGTAAAATCTGCCTTTTGTCAATGCAACCTCCCACACAAAGCACTTAAGCTTGTGCTATATTTCATAATAAGCATATTGATCTAAATGCCTCTGAATGATTTTTATGATTCTACAAAACATCGTTATGACAGTTTTCATATTGGCAAAATTATTAAGAATTATTGGGACCGGTATGAAAATGTAGCATCTTAGCATATAAAGATTTAGAATTCTCCTGAAGATTTATAGGTTTATTTGTTGTACTTCAGGACTATAATTGTTCATACTACAGCAACTGACCTACCAGAATCCAATACTACTAGTGAATAAAACAAAATTATTTCTGTACAATGGAGAAATTTTAAATTTATATTTTGATTAATGTAAACTAAAAAGTATTGATTTTCTTATAGATATATTTACTTAATTTTTATTATTATTACATATTAAATAAATATCATTTAATGTACACAGAAAATAAAACACAATATAATAAACTTTGTATTATCTTGTTCACATGCTACAAATATTAAGCACTGTAATATATTTCTTTTTCCCCCCTAATAGTGTAAATCTTGTTTCACTAAAGCAAATTCTGTTCCAATCTAGCCAAAAAAATCCAAAATACATTCTACCTGTGTAATACCCTGTATGTAACATCAGATATGCACTGTAAACCTAGGGCACTTAAACAACTATTTCTATTATTGAGGTTTACAAAAATCCACATGACTCCTAGATAACAGCAAGAAGAAATATTATCATTTAATGGTTGTCAAAATTTTGCTACTCAATTTGGTAGCCCTACATTAATATGATTCTTAAGAAATCCTTAAAATTTATTGAAATATGCCTTGTTTATTTATATGATTTAGAATTCTAAATAATTCAGGCTACTGTTACAAACTTTTAAATAAAATGTCTAAAACGTGTTTTCTCAAAATCAAAGGGACAAAATTTTTACTGTGGTTTATTTTAAAAAAGACAAAAGGTATACTGTGGATAAAATCAAGATTTTTTAAAAAAACTTCGTATATTAGAATAAATTATTATTTTTTTAATTGGAAAAGGAGTAGGAAATATATATAAGTAAAATAAAATAAAAGCAAATAACTGGAAATATATCTATTTTATCCTTTTTAAGGAATGAGTTTATTTTTATTATTTTGTTCTTTTAGAGGCCCAGGAAGATACAACTTATATTTGTATCAAGAAAATTAAGGATGCTGTTCCCATCACCTCCTTTAAAATTGAAGGTACAACAATGTTAATTGCACAATTAAATTAGGTTCTACTGACAACATCAACAGAATCTTCAAAGCCATGTAAGAAGTAATGATTGATAGAAATGGACATAGTGTCACAATATAGTCCATCATTGCATCAAGAATCTGTCCACTTAAACTGTTCAATTAGAAGCAAAGTTTGGAGAAAACAAAGGGTTAACTTTAACTGAAGTATCTTTTAGAGGAAGACATATTTTTACAACCAATTTATATGAATTAAGAACAATAAGAAATGGCATGTTATAGAAAGGATGCAGAGCTATTTAATGTGTGCATGTATATTTATCACACAAAGAATCATAAACGGATAATGGTAAAAAGTTCACTTTTAGTAAATATACAATTTCCTTCTGATACAGGAATACTTAAGCAGCGCCAAATTTTCAGTTAATAAAGGAGGCTTATTTTTTTTTCCAGGCTGCTCCTGCTTCAAGTGCTGTTCTTGGTTATATATTTTCATTATGTCAAGTCTCTTCTAAGGTTTATACTCTATTTTTTTATATCAAAATGAAGGCTTTTTGTTGTTTCAATTTGTTTTTTTATAAGTATGGCTGGAGGAACAGGCTTTCAGCGATCTGTTTGTGCATGTGTCTCTGCAGTCATTTCAGCACAGCGAAGTGAAGTGAAACCTGCCTCCCCAACACACACACATACACACACTCTCACAAATACAAAAGGACACAATGGAAACAGTTGAAGCAATTCTGAACATTTCTGCATATATTTAAAATATTTTGCACCAATATCTTAAACATTTTAAAAAGCACATTTGCCATCTGCATAGACCATTGTAGATTGTTTATAAGATTTGAAAATTAAGATCTCTCACTTCAAAGCACTCTAAAACTGCTCAAAAATGTCTATATGCCAAATAATTAAAATTTCTTAGGTAAGATCATTATTTTAGAAATCTAAAAAATACATATTTCTTTCCTATTGCTCAATGATAATATATCTACATCTATATGTTTATATTAAGCTGAGGTCAAGTCTCAAGCACAATTACAAATACAATTATCTGTATTTTTGGCTGTGGGTTTTTTTATTTATCTAGTGGTAATACGAAATGGTAAATAGAGTGTTACATCAAGCTTTGCATATGTTCAAAAATGAATGAATTCTTTCCCTAAATGTTCTTTTCTTTTCTGGTGAAAAAAATACTAATTAAAGTATGCATATTGGATTAAAGAATGCGTATTGGCAATTCACTGCTATAAATCGAGGTGGCTTTATACTTTCAATGTGAAATATGTAATTTCTGCACCACCACCATGAATAATCAAACAACATTAAGTTGTCAGAGAATACTGACTGAAAATCACAGAGAATGAAAGAAGAGGATACAAAGGAGACAGGGTAATGAAACAAGGATTCATCATTTCCAGTATCTTCCCAGAAATATCAAAATGTTTTACTAAGAATACATTTAAGTTTATGAAAAATGTATGAGATTTTGCCTCCTCACAGAAGATTCTGAAATGCTTTGGCATTTATTTTGCAACTTTATTTTTGGGATATAAGTATATTCCAAAGTATACTTTCAACCAATACTGTTGACCATTAGCAACTGTGGACAGGATCAAGCAAAAAGCTGTTGGTACAGGTCTTATTTATGTGAGATGAAATGATAATAATAAAAATGAGCTCTGGAAATAGAGAAGATGTCTTTGGCATTAATATTACATTAACACTTTAATAAAGCACAATTCATGCCATAATGATCTAAAGCTATGCGATGCTTATTCTGAATTACTTAATTCTATTTCTGTTGTATCACCTAAACCAGGGGTCTTCAAACTTGGCCGTTTTATGATTTGTGGACTTCAACTCTGAGAATTCTTAAGCCAGCTTGCCTGGCTGAGGAATTCTGGGAGTTGAAGTCTACAAGTCATAAAAGGACTAAGTCTGAAGACCCCTGACCTAAAGTATAGTTCAGAGGATCTCTTATAATGTTGTTCAATTTTCCTGTGTCAAGTAAATAACTTAGAAAGCATAAAACAGAGAGTCCTCATGGACTCTCAAATTGTGTAGCAGTTTATAGACATAACCTGCAAACCTACATACCTATTTGATTATTTGGCAGTAAAGCCTGCCAGGGCATTGGGACTTATTTGGAATAAGCAGACTTTGGAATAGGCTGCAAATTGCAAGCATGAAAATTACCCAATTTCCTTCCCCTAAGGAAAAAAAATAGGTTTACTCACAGTACAGAACATCAAGATATTTACAGCCTATTGCACCATACCAACAGACATACCAATTGTCTATTATTAACAGTGTCCTTTTCTAAAAATTCTGTTTCCAGCACATTCACCGCAAACTCAACTGTGACCAACTTCACTATTTAAGAGAAGCCACCGTTTAAGAGAAGCCACAGTCTCAGTTGATGTCCTGTTTGTAAGGACATCTCAATTAGGAATTTGAAATAAGAACAGCCTATGACTGAACATTTGGCTTCACTATGTATGGCATTTTGTTCCAAAACATGAGGCCTTTTACTGAGAATTGTTCATCACTATCAAAGTGAATACCAACCAGATTTAAAGTCATACCTAAACTGAATTCACAGAAATATCTACTAGCGTATCTACTAGCTTATAAAGCAGAGTAGGCCAATTCAGAAACACAATCTATCATTTCCTGCTTTGACTGAAACCAGGAAATTTTGATTCTCTGTATCCACTGCTTTCATTAATTGGAAATTGGAAGAATCACATAATAACAGTTGTTTTTGCTATCTGAATTTTAAAAACATGGTTCGTTTAAACCAAGATTAACAAAAATAAACAATGCTGAGGTTGCATGATCAGATCTAGTTAAGTTCATTAGAGTATTCATGATTAAAAATCAAGAGAGAAGGAAAGTACAGCTTTAAGAAACTATTTTAAATTCTACTGTCTTATCATTTAAAATATATACACAATACTATATATTTAATGAAAAAGTGCATTCATATCTCTTATTCAATTAGAGACAAAGTATAAATTATAAAGGATGTCATATACTTTAAAAACAACAAAGGGAAAAGCAACATAAATGAGTTTTTTAAAAAAAAAAATCTGAAAGTTTCCCAGTTTTCTCTTTTGTACTGTTGCTATTGGTTTGGAATGGGAGAGGAAAACAGAATATGTGGTGATCTCTGTTTTGTCCTTGGGTAGCTAATACCAACATGTGAATTCAAAA